TTCCAAAAAGCAGGGGGCGGCGGTATTTCGCCGTAGGACGTCTCGTATCCGCCGCCCCCTGCTTGCTGGGGTGCACGGCGTGCTGGACGAGCTGTCAGGTTTTGGTTTTGGTTCTTTTTCCAAAAGAACTCCCCAATGGGCTCCGGCCCGTCCCGCCGGGGTCCCGGGAGGAAGCCGAAAACACCTCAATCCGGAAAAAAATCCTCCAAAAACGGCCGTTTCGCTCGGGACATCCTCAAAAAATCGCGAAGAAGGCCCAAGATGGCCTCCAAGTCCGCCCGAGATGGTCCAAGACGGCCTCCAAAACGGCCCCAGAGAGTCCAAGACGGCCCAAGACGGCCCAAGAGGCCCCCCAGAGGCCTCCCAGACGGCCCAAGAGGCCTCCAAGAGGTCCTCCAGGAGAGTCCGAAGAGGCCAAAAATCATTGATTTTCCCTTGGTTTTTGAAGGATTTTGGCATTTGCGCCTTTTCGGCTCTCCGACGGCTCAAGACGGCCCAAGAAGCCCCCAAGATCGCCCAAGAGGCCCCCAAGAGAGCCCCATGATGGCCCAAGTGGCCTCCAAGATGGCCCCTAGAGGGCCCAAGAGGCCTCCAACACGCCCAAGATGGCCTCCAAGACGCCCAAGATGGCCTCCAAGACGGCCCTGGAGCATTCCAAGCGGGCCCCCCAGTCGGCCCATAGAGGCCCCCCAAACGGCTTCCGACGGCTTCAGACGTGCCAGGAACCCACCAAGATGGCCGAAGTTGGCTCGAAGCTGGCCCGAGAACGGCCCAAAAAAAACAAAAAAAAACAAAAAAAAAAAAAAAAAAAAAAAAAAAAAAAAAAAAAAAAAAAAAACAAAAAAAAAAAAAAAAAAAAAAAAAAAAAAAAAAAAAAAAAAAAAAAAAAAAAAAAAAAAAAAAAAAAAAAAAAAAAAAAAAAAAAAAAAAAAAAAAAAAAAAAAAAAAAAAAAAAAAAAAAAAAAAAAAAAAAACAAAAAAAAAAAAAAAAAAAAAAAAAAAAAAAAAAAAAAAAAAAAAAAAAAAAAAGAAAAAAAAAAAAAAAAAAAAAGGAAAAAAAAAAAAAAAAAAAAGTAAAAAAAAAAAAAAAAAAAAAAAAAAAGAAAAAAAAAAAAAAAAAAAAAAAGCCCCAAAGATCGCCCAAAGCTTGCCCAAGAGGCCTCCAAGACGGCCAAGATGACCTTCAAGATGCCCACGTGTTCCCCCGAAGGCTTTCCAAACCGATTCGGGGAACACGTGGTCCGATAGCTTGGCAGGTCTAGCCTCAACGTTCGGCCACATAGGCGCTTCCAAAAAGGCAGGGGGCGGCGGTGATTCGCCGTAGGCGTCTTCGATAAATGCTGAGTGAGAGGAGGGGAGGGAAAAAGAGAGGAGGGACGAGGGCGAAGAAGGATCACATCAGTCGGAGCGCCCCGGATCGGCGGCACTGGCCGAAGGCCACTACAATCTCTCTAAACTGGAGAAAAATTGAGGCCAGCCTGCGGGCGCTTATGGGTTTTCAAATCCATGGCACTGTTGGAGAGCAGTTGAAGATTTGCCGCCGCAGGCTGGGACAAACATGTGCAAGTGGAGTTCGTGGTCGCTGTTTGACCACCTTACTGGATCTAAGGGCACCGTCCTGTGACCCTGGAGTGGCATACCCAGTGCAATGAGTCGATATGTGGTTGAGCACGTGGCAATGTCAGCCCGACCTGAGGAAGAGCATCAAGTACGTGTGGCCACGGATAGTGACCGAGTTGCGCAGCAGGCCCTCGAAAGAACAAGTGCGAGCCGTCAAGGGGCCACTTTCGGCCACCATCTTGACGCTCCTCAGGCTTGAGTGGGACCCTGCCAGCACTTCGACGTGGCCGTACACGTCTCAGCACAACACGATGAAGGAGTGGCAGTTCCCCGACGAGATCTACACGGGCAACAAGTGGCTTGATAAGCATCGAGGGCTGCTCGCTGATGTGAGGAAGTCTGCGGAGCTCATCCAGTGGCGCCAGGCTGCTGAACACTACTGCGGTGGAGGGATGGAAGACGGTGTGGACAATGAGTCACTCCGACTCTTACTGCATCAAGTCTCACAGCTTCCACACGGGATACGTCTGGCTGAGGTTCTGGTCGACATTGCCACTGGAGTCTTCTGGACAAAGAAGAGGAAGTTCGACGAGCTCAAGAGATATCGTGGCAATGATGTGTGTGTGTGTGACCGTTGCCGAGAACAACCAGGGACACCCTGTCACCGAGCTTGGAGTTGTTCTAAGAACACGGGGGGGGCCCCGTACACGGCATCGGAGGAGCTTGTGCCCCAGGCGTTGGCTCAAGTCAACATGGCGGAGTACTCCTGGCTGAAGGGCCTCATCCCGTCTCGATGGCTGGAGGTACCGAGGCCGCCGCACGAAGACCAGTGGGAATTCGCCGGGGTCAATGAGCTGACCCAGGGCGTCTTTGGCAGCGGATCGGCAGCAGCGCCGATCCAGATCTTCGGGGACGCAAGTGGAGGAGCAGACTCGGCCTAGACAAGGCTGAGGAGGGTCGGTGTTGCCATTGTTTGTACTGAGATGATCATACCAGAGCTGCGGATCACTGGTGCGGTATTTGGCCCGCTTCAAAGCGACCGCCAGGTGGTGCCGCGAGGAGAATTGATGGCACTATTTCTAGCATTATGGACAACAACCAGATATTCAACATATACCACGGGCTGCGAGGCTGTGGCAAAAGGCTGGTATGAGAAAAGGTTTGAACAACCATCAGGTATCGATGCGGATTTGTGGCAGAAGATTGGAGTTATCATTCAGGGCCGTGAGTTGTGTGATGTCGTGGTCCATTGGGCAAATTCACACCTGGGACCCGAGGAGGTTCTCGACGGAAAAAGTATTCGCACGCTTGTCATTGGCAATGCGTTGGCCGACGAGTTCGCGGGCTTTGCCGCGGAGAAGGCTCAGATCCCGCAGGCCATCCGCACGCGCGTGTTGTGTCATGAGCGGCGTGCATTCCTGGTACGCATGAGATGGTTGAGAGCTACACTGGGCAGCATGCAGGCCACTCAAGAGGCCGAGCGTGAGGAGAAGCGGAAGCCTCGTGAGGCCCCATTGGGCCCGCCTCCTTCCCCTCCTCCTCCTCCCGTGCCTGCCGCCGCGGTAGCTGCCCTCCAATCCCATCACCGTCTGGCAGACTGCCAGAGGAAATGCCTACGATGGTTCAGCTCGGCATCCGCCGCCACTGTAAAGGAGTTCTGGGCGTCCGAGTGTACCCCCTTGTACAATGTCAATGCGGTCATCTGCTCTCCAAGTAAGGGGGCGAGGGTACATATAGCGGGGGGCTGGGCTCACACTACACACACCTTGAATGTATATGCGTCCCTTCAGGTTTGGTTTTGTAGTGTGTGCGGGGCCGTCGCTGATAAGGCGAGATGCTCACTGAAGGCACCATGTAAGCTTAGATTGTCCAAGCACGGAAGGGAATATCTTGGCAGGATCCTCAGGGGGTTGCAGCCCAAGGTCCTGAGCCGAGCCGAGCTGTCGGCTCGCTCGAGTGTCCCACCCAGGTCAGGCTAGGCTAAACTGAACTTGCATCGCAACGGGGTCCACTCCACTCCACTCCACTCCTCCTCCTCCCCCTCCCCCTCCCCCTCCTCCTCCTCCTCCTCCTCCTCCTCCTCCTCCTCCTCCTCCTCCTCCTCCTCCTCCTCCTCCTCCTCCTCCTCCTACTCTCCTCCTCCTCCTCCTCCTCCTCCTCCTCCTCCTCCTCCTCCTCCTCCTCCTCCTCCTCCTCCTCCTCCTCCTCCTCCTCCTCCTCCTCCTCATCCTCGTCTGGAGCACAAGTCTGGAACGCGGCGGCTGCAGCCACATGTCCAGCCCGACTCGGACCGCAGGCCAGCCAGCACTCGGAAGAGGAGAAGAGCAGTGGCACACCGATGCGTTCTGCATGGTCTTCGGAGAGGAATGTTCCTTGTGGGCGGACAGCGTCCTGGGGTCAGACTGTGGGGCCCCCGTCTTCGTGTGGCCGCTCGACTGCTCGGGGGCCCTCCTGCTCAAATCCTGTGCTGCCTTGGAGCGCTCTGGCTACACTTCACGCTCAACCAGCTGCACGGTGTTGAGGCGCGCCTTGGAGGTTTTCAAAGATGATGCTGGAAGGTGGTAGAAGGAAGAACGACTGTATACGTACACATCATATGTCGGAGCTCGGCGCGTATTTCTTGAGATCGGCGCTGGAAGCCCCCTCCCTGGCGCTGGGGCTCGACACGTGGCCTAAGGGTGGGGGAGTGGGGGGGTCTGGGTCTGGGCCAGTGCTTAGTCGATCTGCTCCTACCATTCGCGCCAGCAGACTTGGGGATGGTGTCCTGACCAGTCGCCAAAGGCAGCCGCCAAAATGCTGCCAAGCTCTGGCCTATTGGGGGGCGCCAGGGTTCTGCCCCGATCAGTGAAACGGTGCAGGAGGAGACAGCTACAGACCAGACCAGCGACCCAGACAGCTTCGGGCTCCCCTGGTGACGCTTGGAAGACCGAGGCGTAGGTCGGGCCTGTCCTCCTGCAGGTGGATGTTCGGCGACCATTTAAAAATACCCAGAAAACATTCACACATAATCCAGAACAGGCGGATTTGGGCGAAAACTACAGGCGGATGTTGGGCGATAATGCTTAAAACATGCTCCAACACATATTCAAAAATAATCAAGAACAGTAGGAAATCGTCCCCTGACTATTTTTGACCATCTTTGAACATTCCTCCTGTAGAGGGACACGCCCGACTTAAAAACCGAGGCCGCCCAGGCGAGTCCGGGACCACGGGCGCGGCGGGCGTGCTGGGCCCAGCCCGCTGGGGCGCCCATGCGGACCCAGACATCTGCCCGCTTTTCGCCCCAGGTCCACTATATTGATGGCCCCTGGAGTCCGAGGGCGGCCCCCGCGAGGCCGAAGAGAATGAGAAACGCCTGGACTGCAGCACTCAAAACGTCGGAGACCTGGGCATGGATGCCAGACAGACCCCGGCCGGAGGCTCGCAGGGCCCAAGCCAGCCTGCAGTCGCTTGAGCTCCGCCGCCGCTCGCTCCCGCGCCTCCTGCGCCGCCTGCCGCCCCTCCCGCAGCTCCTCCCGCAGCTCCCGCACCTGGGGAAACCACAAGACACCGGCACCGCCAATTACAGTCAAGACGTGTATTAAGGACGGGTGGTAAGGACGCAAGATCCTTGGAGGCCGAAGTTGGGATTTATTGGGCGGCGGGCGACCAGTGAGAACGGCAAAGGACAGGCTGCAGAGGCAAGGACGCAAGGGTACCCTACATGAAGGCGCGCGTCCTTACTAGGCGCGTTGACTGTACTCCACGGACCTGGGGACCTGGGAGCAGCGGCATCGGGGTCCAGGAGCCGCTTCCCGCACGCCTCCCGTGCCTCCCTGGCGCCCCACCCGCCACGTCCTCGGTCTCCTCCTCCTCCTCCTCCTCCTCCTCCTCCTCCTCCTCCTGCTCCAGTTCCTGCTCTTGCTCCTGCTCCTGCTCCTGCTCCTGCTCCTGCTCCTGCTCCTCCTCCTCCTCCTCCTCCTCCTCCCGCCTCCTCCGCCTCCTCCTCCCTTCCTCTCTCCTCCTCTTTCCTCCTCCTCCCTCCTCCTCCCCCCTCCCTCCTCCCCCTCCTCCTCCTCCTCCCCTCCTCTCTCCTCCTCCTCCTCCTCCTCCTCCTCCTCCTCCTCCTCCTCCTCCTCCTCCTTGGACCTCAGACCTGCGAACTGCCCCCTCCAGAGAGCAAAGCCCTCGACCCCCCCAACCGGTCGGTGGAAAGGGGTAACAAAAACCATGAGGCAAGATCTGGGGAGGGAGAAGCGAGGCGAGGCGAGGCGAGCGCGCGATGTCGGTCCGGTAGGACCGGCCCTCAGACGGCAGCGCAGGGGGGCCAGAGCCCTCAGGTCAAAATGCCCCAAAAGGTCAATGAATACTCAAAAAATAGTCCCCATACTATTTTTCGACTATTTTTGGATTATTTTGGGTGTATTTATTTCCTAACAGCGAAGACTGATAGGTTTCTAATGGTCTCAAAAGAAAGCATCTTGACTCCTCAGGGGGGTCTGGGCAGATGCCGGACGGGTGCCGGGGAGAATCCGTGGAAGTCGTTTTAAGCAAACAGTTACACACTTCGTGGTCTTCGAGGTCCCAGAACTCCATTCCTGGGCATGATTTTGAATGCCTGGAGCCAGCTGTAAGCCATTTTGTGGCCTTCGAATTCCCAGAACTCCATTCCTGGGCATGATTTTGAATGCTCGGAGACAGCTGTAGGCCACCTCGTGGTCTTCGAGTTCCCAGAATTCCAGTCCTGGGCATGATTTTGAATGCCCAGAGCCAACTGTAGGCCACTTCGTGGTCTTCGAATTCCCAGAACTCCATTCCTGGGCTTGATTTTGAATGCTCGGAGCCAACAGTAGGCCACTTCGTGGTCTTCGAGTTCCAAGAATTCCATTCCTGGGCATGATTTTGAATGCTGAGGCAGGCTGAGGCTGAGGCTGATGAAGGCTGAGGCTGAGGCGGGCTGAGGCTGAGGCCGAGGCTGAAGGCAGATTGAGGCTGAGGCTGAAGCAGGCTGAGGCTGAGGCTGAGGCAGGCTGAGGCTCAGGCTGAGGCAGGCTGAGGCTGAGGCTGAGGCTGAGGCAGGCTGAGGCTGAGGCAGGCTGAGGCTGAGGCCGAGGCTGAAGGCAGATTGAGGCTGAGGCTGAAGCAGGCTGAGGCTGAGGCAGAGGAAGGCTGAGGCTGAGGCTGAGGCAGGCTGATGCTGAGGCAGGCTGAGGCTGAGGCTGAGGCTGGTGCAGGCTGAGGCTGAGGCAGGCTGAGGCTGAGGCCGAGGCTGAAGGCAGACTGAGGCTGAGGCTGAAGCAGGCTGAGGCTGAGGCTGAGGCAGGCTGAGGCTGAGGCTGAGGCAGGCTGATGCTGAGGCAGGCTGAGGCTGAGGCTGAGGCTGATGCAGGCTGAGGCTGCGGCAGGCTGAGGCTCAGGCCGAGGCTGAAGGCAGACTGAGGCTGAGGCTGAAGCAGGCTGAGGCTGAGGCTGAGGCAGGCTGAGGCTGAGGCTGAGGCTGAGGCAGGCTGATGCTGAGGCAGGCTGAGGCTGAGGCTGAGGCTGATGCAGGCGGAGGCTGAGGCAGGCTGAGGCTGAGGCCGAGGCTGAAGGCAGACTGAGGCTGAGGCTGAAGCAGGCTGAGGCTGAGGCTGAGGCAGGCTGAGGCTGAGGCTGAGGCAGGCTGATGCTGAGGCAGGATGAGGCTGAGGCTGAGGCTGATGCAGGCTGAGGCTGAGGCAGGCTGAGGCTGAGGCCGAGGCTGAAGGCAGACTGAGGCTGAGGCTGAAGCAGGCTGAGGCTGAGGCTGAGGCAGGCTGAGGCTGAGGAGGCTGAGGACTGAGGCTTGAAGAAGGTGATGGATGAGGCACGGCCGCCTGAGGCTGAGGCCGGGCTAAAGGCAGACTGAGGCCTGAGGCTTGAAGGCAGGCTGAGGTGAGGCCGAGGCAGGTGAGGCTTGAGGCAAGGATGATGCCTGAGGCGGATGAGCTGAGGATGAGGCTGATGGCATGAGCCTGAGCTGAGGCAGGCTGAGGCTGAGGCCGAGGCTGAAGGCAGTGATCGAGGCTGAGGGCTGACGCAAGCTGAGGCTAGGCTGAGGCTGAGGTAAGGCTGAGGCTGTGCCTGAGGCTGAGCAGGCGATGCTCCGATGCTGACGGCAGGCTGAGGCTGAGGCTGTGACTGCGACTGCCGTTGCCACAGCGACTGTCATCGCGAATGCGACTGCGACTGCGAGAACAGCAGACAGAATTCTACAACTGGATTCTCATATGAATCTTAAGGGGAATGCTTCCAAATATGCTCCTACACATCGCTGTTAGGTTGCTTTGCCGGGATACTTATTTTTCAGCGAAAATCCCCCAGGAGTCGGAAATGGGAGCCGGAGTTGGAGAAATGGAAACGGGCATCGGAAAGGCGACTCGTTGCAGAGAGATGGGAGCTGGAGTCGGAGAGTTCGGAGAAGGAACGACTGAACGGCGAGAGCATGAACTGGAAAACTTAGGACGGGCATGTCCTCCTACAGGCGGATTTTGGACGACAGATCAAAAAAAAAAATGAAAAAAGGAAATGTTCAAAAATTGTCAAAACATCGTCCCCATCTTATTTCTTGACCAGCTGGGAATAAGCCTCCTGTAGAGGGACATGCCCGACTCAATATGAAGCCGAGGAGGGAGGGAACAGGGAGACCGTCTGCGGCGGCGGCGTGCGGGCGCAGGTGTGGTCTGCAAAACGAAGATCCATCACCACAGGATAGTTCGGAAAAAAAACGCTCTCAACGGTCCACTGAGCACCTGCGCTCGCGCCACGCGCAGCTGCCTGCAAAAGCACGCGGCCGCGGCCGCGACGGCGACGCCGAGCGCCGCCACCCCACCCAGCGCGGCGAGCGCGGGGTCCTCTCGGAGGTGTCAAGAGAGCTCTCCTAGGTGGGGTCGGACTTGATGGGGCCGGAGAATCGCGCCGCATCGGCGATGCATCGCCGATGCATTGGCGATGCGCCTGCGACGTCGGCGATGCATCGGCGCCGGCGTGGACAATCGGGCTGCATATCGAGCCGCATCGGCGATGCAGCGGCGATGCAGCGCGATTATCCAAACTAATTTCGGTTGACCCATCTGTGAGGCCTAGACTGACTGATCCACCAAGGGGGGGAATATCATTTTCAGGACTCGCTTATTAAAATGATGCGCGATCGTCGCGTCGCCAATGGCAAGTGTGGAGCTGATGATGTTGATGATGATGATGATGATGATGATGATGATGATGATGATGATGATGATGATGATGGTGCAGATGGTTTACTGTTGGCGTGGTCCTATTTTTGGGGCAGCTCCTGTCTGTTTGCTGCGACGTCCTGTGTTCTTGTTCTGAGGTTATGATTACTTATCTTCGGGGGTCCTATTTTTGGGATGCACGGCCTACTTTTTGTGGAGTCCTGTTTACTTGTTGGGGTGGTCCTGTGTACTTGTAGAAACGTCCTTTTTTACTCTTGGGAAGGTCCTGTGCATTATGTGGGAGGTCCTTTTTCCCTTTTGGGGATGGTCCTTTTAACACGTGGGATTCCAGGTTATTTGTTTGGGATGTCCTGTTTCTAGTTTAGGAGGTCCTACTTATTTGTTGGAATGTACTGTCTACTTGCTGGGGGTCCTGTTTGCTTTCTGAGGGGGTCCTGTTCATTAGTTGGGAGATACTGTCTGGTTTTCGAGGGGTCCTGCTTACTTCTTGGTATGTCCTGTTTTCTTCCCCACCCTCCTGCGATGGGTTCTCGTTGTGAATACAGCACTGCGGTCGCACATCCTCCCGCTCCCTGTCACCTTTCTGCCTGCCTCTCACCTCGCTCCTTCCTGCGTGCCAGCTTGCCTCCTGCCTGGCCCTTCCTGTGGGGCTACGATATGCGGAATCGTGGCCAACTGTCGCCACTTTCGAACGCTGCTGGTGGTTCCAGCGGAGTGACGTGCTACGCAGACTCAGATTCAACCTCGCCATCCCTGCGGGGCTGCGATCTGCCAGACTGTCACCACTTTCGAGGGCTGCTGAGGGGTCCAGCGGAATGACGCGCTACGCAGACTCAGACTAGACCTCGCCGTCCCTGCGGGGCTGCGATCTGCAAAACCGTCGCCACTGTTGAAAATTCCTCGGGGGCCCAGCGGGGTGACGTGGCACGCAAACTTGGACCAGACCTCGCCATCCCTGTGGCACTGCGATCTGCGAAACGGCCCCCACTTTCGAAAGCTTCTGGGCCGATCCGGCAGGCCCCCCGGCACCGCCGTGCTGGCGCCGGGCGGGCGCGCTGGCGGCTGCCTCCCGCCGTCGGCCGGCGCAGCGGCCGCCAGGGCTCCCGGCGGCTCCACGGCGCTGTGCGCGAGCGCCGGCGGACGGGGCCACGGGCGCCCGTCGGCGGCGGGGTCGGCTGCAGCGGGCACTCTCCAGGGCGGCGGCCGAGGCCTCCACGCAGGGGAGGAGGAGGAGGAGGAGGAGGAGGAGGAGGAGGAGGAGGAGGAGGAGGAGGAGGAGGAG